ATTCCAACGCCCAACAGCCCCTTCTGCAAAGAAATCCTTCCTCAGAGCCAGTCACCTGTGGAGGTGCTCCCTGGTAGGATCTGAGGGACCCAGTTGTTTCTGCCTTTCCCTTTTTGCTCAGTGCTTCACGCTCACCAGTTTCTGCAAAACGAATACGCCCTAAGCCTGGTCTCCTGCAAGCTTGGCAAAGATCCGAACACCTACTTCATCGTGGGCACTGCCATGGTGTATCCCGAGGAGGCAGAACCCAAACAGGGCCGCATTGTCGTCTTCCACTACTCTGACGGTAAGAGGAAGGTCTCCTCATGTGGAGATCAGGGATGAGCAGAGTTTTTCCTGAAACCTGCTGCCAGCTGCCCACAGACCGCTCCGCTGCAGGCTGTCACAGCGTGTTCCCTTTCCCCCCCGTCTCATAGAGAAGTCCAGAAATCCCTCACTGGAACTGGATTATGGGATTTGCTGCCTTTTGTGTCTGCCCCTGTCACATCACTCCTCTGTTACTTGCCCACAGATCCTCCAAGAGAGTTTCTAGAGGAGCAATGTTTAGAGCAGCTCACAAATCCCCTGGGTTTGCCACCCTTGGGAGAACAGAGCAAATAACCAGGTGGGGTGTGGGTTTATTCCAGGGAAGCTGCAGAGCCTGGCTGAGAAGGAGGTCAAGGGAGCTGTGTATTCCATGGTGGAATTCAACGGAAAGCTGTTAGCCAGCATCAACAGCACGGTAGGGCGCTCTCGTGAGACCCTGACTTAACTTGGGGAGCACGTTTCCAAGCTGGAAGCTGCTCCAGCTGGGTGGATATCAGCCAGGTCCCCCCAGATCTCCATTGAGGAGCGTGTTCTGGCTGGCGTGGGTGTCTGCTGGCTCCGAGCTGTGTCCTTCCCTTCAGGTGCGTCTGTATGAGTGGACAGCCGAGAAGGAGCTGCGCACGGAGTGCAACCATTACAACAACATCATGGCTCTCTACCTGAAGACTAAGGGCGACTTCATCCTCGTGGGAGATCTGATGCGGTCTGTCCTACTCCTTGCATACAAGCCCATGGAAGGAAACTTCGAGGAGGTATTGATGCTGTTGGAATACTCATAGTTGAAGGCACGCTGGGAGCCTGTGCTGCCTCTTCCAGTCAGCTCCATGCAGGGGAAATGGTGTTTAGGGTGATTAAAAAAAGGAGCCTGGCTCACCCCACCTCACCAACCCTTTGAAGACAAGAACATAGGGCTGTGCAGTGAGAGCAGCACCACCTGGACATGCTTTTAGGCAGATCCCTGTGGTTTCTGGAGGGATGGATGCCTGCGATTCCAGGAAACTGTGCAATGAATCAGCAGCCTGGAGCAGAGCAGGCTTTGGGTGCAGGTTTGCTGCCTGCCAGGGGTGGGGAGCTGCCATCTGGACTGCCTGTTGGACAGTTAGAAGGGTTTAGCACGACTGTAGCCGTGTCTCTGTCAGTAAATGCAGCGTAACTGAGGGATGGACCAGGCACTGAGACAATCTGTGCACTTAAATTATTAAGAGTGGGCCTGGCTTTGGCATGGGTAGGTCTGTCTTTGCCCGGGGAGTGCCCTGGCCTCATGCTCGTGCCTTTTGTGCTTGGCTGCTCCGTCTAGCAGAGAGGAACGGGCTGGATCCCACCTCCCTCCTGGATATTTTGTGAAATAAAGATGCTGGATCACAGGACAGGCCATCTGGGCACACTGTGTCTCCTCTTTGTCCCCTTCCAGATTGCCCGGGACTTCAATCCAAACTGGATGAGTGCTGTGGAGATTCTGGACGACGACAATTTCTTAGGAGCAGAGAATGCTTTCAATTTGTTTGTGTGCCAGAAGGACAGGTGAGCTGGCTGTGAGGGGGGGTGTAATGCGTGGCGGGAAGGCTGGGAGGAGCAGGGGAAGCTTTCCCATCACCCCAGCACAAGCTGAGAGGGGGGATGCTTTGAATTTCAGTGCGGCCACGACCGATGAGGAGCGCCAGCACTTGCAGGAGGTGGGGCTGTCTCACCTGGGAGAGTTTGTCAACGTTTTCTGTCACGGTTCTCTGGTCATGCAGAACCTGGGCGAGACGTCCACACCGACACAGGGCTCAGTTCTCTTTGGCACTGTCAACGGCATGATCGGTGAGGGTCGGGGCTCCCCAGCCTGGCTGGGAGGGAAACCCGCTTTTCTCTCTGGTTTACTTCCAGGAGAGGAAACTGGGAGAAGTTTTCTTTGAAACTCCTTTGTCCCAGCTCCCAGCACAATTCCTGGGCTGAGCCCTGAACTTTTTTTTTTCCCCCCCACTTTTTGCAGGCCTGGTGACTTCGCTGTCAGAGAGTTGGTACAACCTCCTCCTGGACATGCAGAACAGGCTGAATAAAGTCATCAAGAGTGTGGGCAAGATTGAACACTCCTTATATCCTTTTGCAGGAGCTCGGGCCAGTCAGTGCTGGGGGCTGGATGGTGAATTTGGCCTGAGCCAGGTGCTGGGTGGAGGTGTATCTCCAGTGGGAGCGTGTTTGCTAGGTGCTTTGTGCTTGCAGAGAAGTTGCCATGGTAGAGAGGAGTCTTATTTTGCAGGGTTTGAGGATGAATCTGGCCCTAAGAAGGCAGTACCCATCCTGTGGTGGTCCTGGGGCAGCTGTGGGTGGGTGTTGCTGCGCAGGGGTTTGGTTCCTTGACAGTGGCACCTGGAGATCGTTTCACACCGAACGCAAGACGGAACCGGCTACAGGGTTCATCGATGGTGACTTGATTGAAAGCTTCCTGGACATCAGCAGACCCAAGATGCAAGAGGTGGTGGCCAACTTGCAGGTGAGATGGGCCCTTCCTAAGCTCAGGAATCCAGCCTGCAGTAAATCCTCAGTGCGTGACGGGCTGGGAGTCTTCCTCAGCACCTCTCGCTCTCCCCGTGCTCCGCTGCCTTTCTCTCTCCTTTACAGATCGACGACGGCAGCGGCATGAAGCGGGAGGCCACCGTAGACGACCTGATAAAGATCGTGGAGGAGCTGACCCGGATCCATTAGCAGGATTCGGGGTCGTTCCATACCACCTTCCTCCACGTAGCGCAAGGGAATTGTTTTTCCCCGCCCGCAGCCCTGGGGACCCCCCCAGTTGGCTGCACAGACCACCAGTGGTGGTGGCCCTTGCCTGAGGGGACATGGGGGAAGGAGTCTCTGAAGGGGGGAGCCAGCTGGCTAGGGATTTGAGGGGGGTGGTGGTCAGGCACCATGGCGCTGCCTGCTTAGATTCACCAATCCTAACCCAGAACTGGGTTTACTGGTTGCTCTGGGGTGACCGACCAGTAGCACTTGGCTGACGCAGTACCCTTGCCAGGATTCACTCTTCACCGTTGTCTTTAGTATTTTTTAATTTTTTTTTTCCTTTTTGCTTTCAGTTTCGTTTTTGATTCTTTTTGATTCATTGTGGGGTTTTTTTTGAAGAGGAGGTGAAGCTGCCTCTAGGGTGAGGGCTGCTGGAAGAAGCATCTGGGGCTGGCTAGACGTACGGTCGCCGAGGGTGAGGATTCCTCTGCCTCCAGGTGACGAAGCTGAGCAGGACAAGCCCTCTCCTCTGTCCGCAGGATCTGTGGCTTGCTCAGGGAGGGAAGTTCTGGGAAGCTCAAGCAGTTGATGGATTTTGAGTTGTACCAAATAAAGTAGTCCAAGAGGAAAGGTCTGTCTCTGTAGTACCAGCAGCCTGGACCCGTGGCCTTGGCTGGCTGAGGGACCCCTGTTCCCAATCTGAAGGAATTTTGGGGGATATCTCCTGTGCTGAAATGCTGTCACATTCTCAGGGTCGGTGAGAGGGGCGCAGTGGGCTTGGCAAGGCAAGGTGCTGGGGTGCGTCTGCTTTCCAGATGCATTTTTATGGCTTTTTTTTTTTTTTTAATTGAAGAAATCATAGTTTCTCCTCTTGCCGCACCCTAGTGCTGATATCTCGGGGCTCCTGAATATCCTCCCTGCTGAAAAATCCTCCCTGCCCAGGGGATCACGCTGAGGGTAGTTCTGGCTCTGCAGGCCCCCCTTTGCCACTTCCCCATCTCTGAGCACAGCGGGGCTGCCCAGGGGAGTTCTTCCCTCCCCATGGGGCTGCAGTTCTCTGTGCGTCACTTAGAGATTAATAATTATCCTCCTGCTCTCCATTCGTTTATTTACGCTGTGAATTGTCCAAGCTGGGGGCAGCCCCTGGCTCGCTGCTGCCAGAAATGCGCATGAGGGTGGCAGAGTCATTCCCAACCACCTCCTCTCTCCTGCTCCTGCCTCTCAGCCACTCCCTGGCTCTGTGTGCAAGCCCCGTCCGTAACCCACCGTCTTGAGATGCCACAAACCCGTCATGTCCCATCCTGGGCAGGTTGGTGTCAGTAAGATTTATTTTTTTTTTTTTCCCCCTCCCCAACCACCCTCTCTGCAGCAGCAAGAGGTGGCTACTGTCCTGAAGGCCGAGCTTGTGCCGAAAGCGTCCTCAGGCTCCTGCAAGTCTCAGTTTCTCGGAGGAGGTCACAGGCAGAAGGCTATATTTGGCCATATCTCTGCCCAGGGAGGTTGTTTAGGACTGGGGGAAGCAAACTGACCCTTTGCAGCGAGTCTGGATGGCGTGTTCACGTTGTTTTTAATCACTCGAGTGTTTGGGCTTTGCATTTGCCTGCCCCGGCTACTTGTTTTTTTTCATTTCTCACCAAAATTGGGGGGTCCCAGGGAGCACCAGCCTCCGGCGGGCAGCACACCACTCCTACCCCTGAAAAACTGGGGATGCTGGTGCTGGCCTGATGCTGGCAGCCTCCCTTTTTTCTTTTTTTTTTTTTTTTTTTTTTTTTTTTTTTTAAGGGGTGAGGAACGTGGCCGGCTGGGGCAGGGCCGGGTGTTTATCCTGTGCCACTGGCCACACTCCAGCCTTGTTTGCACAGCTGCTTCGCTGGGGCTGAGGTCATGTCCCCCCAAAGCTGGGGATTCATCCTTTATCTTCCAAACAAATGTGGCTGCCCTGGGGTGTCCTGCACCCCTAAACCCAGCGCTTTCCTCCCACCCAGTACCCCATAACTCGTATTTCAAAGCATGCAGGGGGTGATGCAGCAGGGAAAGGCAGGTGCTGGATGACCCCAAGCCTTGAGCAGGGGAAAATCGTTAATTTTGGGGGCAATCCACACCCGCTGGGGAACCGGAGGCTGCGGGTCGCTCCCTCTCTGAGGAGGCTGCAGGTACTGACCCGGGGCCGGCAGCCCCAGCCCTTTGCTCCCTGGTATAAATCATTTACCTGCCTGCGACCTTCGCTTCAGCCCCCAGCCGGGAAGGGGTGAGGGGGGGTTTGGCTGGGGGGTGACCGCTGTGCGGCAGCATCCCGCGCCCCTCCCCCTGCTGGGTGCACCCCACTATCCCGGCTCCACTTTGGCCCCTTTATCTGCTGCGTGCTCCCCTTTGGTGGGTCCCTGTGCAGGGCTGGGAAGGCGGCCCAGTGCCGCCAGGAGGAGGAGGAGGAGGGGTGGGGAGAGGCCATGCCGGAGCTTTGCCAGATGTGGGAAAGGAGAGAAGGGGGAGACGCTTTCGCTGCTGCTTCCTGCCTTATTGGGGACCCCCCCCGCCCCAGCCCCACGTCTTCCAGCCGCCACCACGCTCACGGCCCCGGGATGAAGCCGCTCGCCTCGGCCAAGCCAACCAGCCTTGGGGTGAGCATCCCCGCGGCCCGTGCGTCCCCCCGTGTCGGGGTTGGGGGGTGGGTGGAGCTGTCTCTTATAC